TGCCTTGCTGAGCCGTGCTGAGCACCTCGTCTCTCCGTCCGCCTGCCCGTCCTCGGTCACCGCAAACGCGGTCCGCTCAGCCCCGACCCTTCGAGGTAGGCACAGCGAGCAGTAGTTGACAGAGACTCGACCGGTTCAACCCAATGGCTTATCGTCTCCGCCTCGACATGAGATTTTACCTATCGTACCGTCCCAGCACAATATTCACGGCGTCGTCTACAAAGGCAAGCGTGATTTTCCTTCTTCTCTCTCGGGATCCTCTCGCCGAGGCTTCAGCAGGTCCTGATGTCGCTTGCGGGCCCTCTGACGGCCAAATGCACTTACGTACAGCGGAGTTGGGCCCCGCCGCCGTCTCTTCATCTTTCGGCTCTGACGAGACAATAATACGCGCGCCGGGGAGGCTTCGGTCTTTCGCTCCTGGCAGAGGTGGGGGGCGAAGGGCACGGAGCCATGTCGCCATAGACCAGACCACACCCAGGGTCAGGGCATGTCGTCTTCGCTGAACGACGAGCCGTACTGTAGATGGCCCGGAGCATTGGTAGCTTCCGACGACTGCAGCGTCGAGACAGGGGGATGAGACGCCAGAGAATCTTCCAGCGTCGCGCCGTTGCGTCCTACTCCTTGCCTTGCAAGCTGTGCAACCTTAGCGAGACGGGACCGCCCGTAGCCTAAGCGGGTACGTACGGGGTCGGTCCGCCTGCCACTCTCTGAATGAGCAGGTCCACGCGCCGGTCGTCCTTCATGGAGCAAGCGAATGCCGGACATATGCACATGTGTGAGCGCATACGGCTGCTCTGCCAGGCGCGGCTCTGTACACGACTAGTGGATTGCGTCCGCCCTGAGGGAATGGTTTGCGTTGGCCCGTTAGCGTGGCCCGTTAGCGTGCAATGACAGGCAAGGGGATCTGCGGGGATAGAGCTCGGCCTGCAGTAGACACGAGGTCTGGGCCTCAAGAACAATTAGGGATTTGAGCGGCGTGGGTGAGCAACACGGCACCCGCAAGCCTGCAAGGCGATACGTACGGCGGCCCGGTCGGTGGCTGAGGGGGGCTGTGTTGCAGCAGCAGCAAAAGCAACAGCATGCTGGCCCCGGATGCGTACAGGATGATGCTGCGCTGGCAATGAGCCGGCAATCAAAAATGCACTGCGCCTCGTCTGCGCCATGGTCAATTCATCGCGGTGGCCCGGCGTGTCACCGACGAGGTCGTGAGGCCTCAGCTCGACGACATATGTGCAGCACGCCGACTCATACCTATTTCTGCATGCATGTTCCACCCGCCACTCGCAAGCTACGGCTTGAACGGGCCGACCGTTGCAGCCGCTCACTTCCGCGAAGAGCGCGAGCGTTTGGACACGCTAGGCGGCGACCATGCAGAGCGGCTCGCCATGACTCGCGCCGACCGACCTGGCCGTGGCCTCGAGAGTCGCGTCCGCTGCCCGCTCTAAGGGTAACAGCGAGCGACGAGGGCAACCTGACCTCGGTCACTCGCACTACCGTATTGTGCCTAGATGCTGACAGCGCTCGCGCATAGTGGCTTTATGCAAGAGCTCTAACCACATCTCGGACAAGACTCGCCCCTTTGTCAGTGGAGCGTCTCAATGGATGCAAGGACGCGCGAGCCAGCATGCTGCAAACTCTTTGCCATTCGAGACAGCCCAAGGGCAACCAAGCAAGCAATTCCGAGCAGGCCCAGGACGAATGTTGCTGCCGAGTGAGCGCGCGAGCGGGCGTTGTTCAGCAAGTCATGTCCATCCCATTTTCTTAGGTGCAGTCACGGCTCCGGCATCTGCAAAGCAGCCCCTCGGACCATGTCACCGAGCTGTAGGCGTGCCTTGATGGATCTCGAATGGAGCAGGAGCGTCTCTGTGGCATCAGAACTGCCTGTCTCCTCACATCCGTCTTAGCTATGCAAACGTACGGTGACCGACAGCGCCACCGCTTCGGGGTCTGCGCACCGCACTGCAAGGGATCTCGTCGGAAGCTGGTGAGCTGGGCTGGGTCGGTCTAGGCTTGACGAGCGAAGGTCGGGCTCGACGAGGCAGCCCCTCGTGTCTGAGTCCAGCTGCGGTCTGGATCCTCATAGCCTGCCTGCTCCTAGCTGTGCGGCGAGGTGCGTCCGCCGCAAGGGAGGGCATGGCGCGGCGGCTATGGTCGAAGTCTGGGCGCAGTCGACGGGTCGGGTTCCGAACCTCTCCTGTCTGGCACTAGCGGGCGGGTCAGTGAGTTCGTGGCTGTGCCCGGCCCCTGAAGGCACGGCCGACACCGACGACGGAAGTGCGCTACGGCGAGCAGCTGTGCATCTGTACCTTCGTACCAACCTTTGCGCCAAGTCAGAATTTAGCCTCTGAGTCCGAGTGTACTCGGACGCCCAACCTCTTCCCTGGCAAGCTGGCACTAGCTAGCTGGTCTTACACTCGTGTGTGTCTCAGCCTGCCGATGGGCCGCAGGGCTCTTCTTGCACTGAGCGGCCCGGGCACTTTGGGCTACAGAGTACGAGGTGTATGTAACTAGGTGAAGATTCAAAGGCGGGAGGGGTCGGGCGACTTGCCCTCTCCGGCGATGCAAGGGGACAGCACGGACGCCGTCGCTTGGCCGGTAGACGGGCCGATTCTAAGCCGACTTGCACGTCTCCGACACGCCACCGACAAGTGGTAGTGTAAGCTACGGTTACCCAGAAGCAGCTTCGTCGCCCATGCAGCGTCTCAGGCTGACTGTCGATGGTCTGGGCACTGATCACGACGACGATGGTTCGCGGCAAGCTTGGGGCAGATGCTCGTGCTCACGGTGGCGGGCAGACGTACGGCGGGCTCCTTCCCTCTTCGTCGCTGGTGACCTGGCCTGGCCTGCTCGTCCACCGTTCCAATGTAGCATTAGCGAGCAGCAAGGATCCTCATACATACAGCGTGCATGTGCGTGCGTGCACCCGCTCCGCCCGCCCTGCTACAACCGCACTAGGTATGACATATGCCCAGTTCCCGGACCACTCGCATCGCCGTCCAACCAGGCGACGAGCCTGTTTAAGGTGTAGATCTCGCGATTAGAGCTCGCTTGAGGCGCAGACCCGGACTTTTTCATGTGGTTCTAGGTCCCGCATCGCTTGCCGGGCCCCTTTCCCCTTTCCCCCTGTCCTCCCCGACTGACCTACCGATTGTCCGACCTGTAGCCCAACCCCTGGTGGCGCCGAGGGTTGCGCCTGCAGGCCCAATTTCGAACGATGCTGCACATAGGTCTGCCTTTGTGCCGGTAGTCTCCAGTGCAGAGCTCGTCCAGATGCCGGGGCGATGGTGCGAGGATCCTTCTTCCTCTTCCAGCGTTGGCATGGTTCGTGGCTGACCGGGGCCGACGTGCAGAGCGGGCCAGGGGAGTGTCGTTGTGCGCTGCGTGGGTCCCGTTGTCATTCTTCCAGTTGAGCCCGCTGTCAGAGCGCGGGTCGAGAGGATGAGGGCCCCGGGTACAGTCTGGTCCCCTCTGCTTCCGCGAGCGAGGTCAAGTTCTAAGCGGTGGTGGGTTGGTCTCTTCGTGCGTTCTTGCCTTGCGTTCCCCGGCCGGCGATCCAATTCAGTCCCGACATGCAGATCTGGCAGAGAATCTGGCCATGTTGGTTCCTAGGATCGCCAACGGGGCCTCGAACTGGCCTTGGAGGTTCGACTGTTCAAGGTCCTCCCAGCAGCTGTTGCGAGTGACGCCGCAGCCCACCTGCTTCTGCCGGCGCCGCAGCTTCGACGTCGACCTGGATCGGTCGCTTTGCAGCATGCGACACCGGCCAGCCTTTCACGAGTGGGCCAAGCAGGTCGTGGCAGGCAGGGTGAAAGCGTGCCGTTGCCGTACATCCTGGACCGATCTAGCCCGGAGAGCGAGGCAGCCACAGAGCAGCTGGTACTCGTGAGTTTAAGGTATCACGGGCCAATTAGTCCACCCCGCTTCCCCCTTGACCCCCTTCTCGCCTCTGAGGATGAAAGAAAAAGGTCCTCGCGATCGGGCCGAACGGGATCGCGCTCCGTCTCCTATATCCCGAACTGCAGGCTGAGCAGAAGCCGAAGGCCCGAACGCAAGCCACCCTTCCTCCTTTTCCATCGCGGCTGCAACCTTCCTCCTCCTCGTCGTTCGATCCATCGTTTTTCTGCAGGCAACAGCACCAAGCGGTGAACGTAACACGACATATGTAGAGCGCCGGCTCGTTCCTGGGTCGGACCACTGCATATCAACTTGCCAGCGAATCAAGACTACGGTACCGATTGTGATTGATGATGGCGTTCGCCCCACCGGCAAAGCTCGTAAGAGCAGAGCGGCCGGGAGCAGGGCGACCTCGTGTTCCTGGTTTCGGGAAGAAGCTCCCGATCGGACGATAATCGAAAACGTGGCCACCTCGTGTCCCGGGTTGACCAACGCAACGCCCACGTAAGCATCGGCTGAGCGGCTTCCAACCGAATGGTACGGTGGGGCGTTCAGTACAGGTAAGGGGGGATGGGGGGTACCACATCGCAGCCCGCCAACGTCGTCGTGCTGCGGCTGGATCGAGCCATGTGGCTGTGAGCCAAAGCCGGGGATTGGCCTTGGCGAAGCGGGTCAGCGTACGCGTTGGGGGCTCGAGACGGTGCGGATCGGAATATGCATGGCATCGGAGCAAGGGACCACCATGGTGATCGTCATTGAGCAGGGTGCCGTAGCCCCGGCCATGTATGTACGGGATCGCCTAGATCAGCGTGGCCAGGCCGAGCCTCTTGGCTGCGCAGCATACCTTACCCACACGCCGTCGGCTTCGTGGCCATTCGGGAGCAGTCTCCCGGTCATACAGGGCTAGTGTAGGTGGGCGGCTAAGCGTGGCTTGGACCGTCTCCTTAGGCTGAGAAGATGCGGCAGATAGAGCTTATTGTGACTGCGGCGATCCAAATGAGCAGGCTAGTAGATACAGTACGTCGCGGTATTCCATGGTAAGTTACGGCCTGGCACAGCACGGCACAGGGCGGCAACACCAGGCCCTACTCAGTTGAGGCCAAGTCTTAGTACCTCTCCCACCTCTCGCGCGCGGGCCACATGGCATGGAAGAAGTCCTTCATCCTGCGATCGACGCGGGCCATGCTCGCATCCTCGAGATCATCGTTGAAGCACACGAGCGCATCGCGACCCAGATCCACCTTTTCCTGCGACTCGACCAGCGGCAGCAACCATCGCCCACCCCTCACCACGTCACCGCCACCGTCGCCGCCGCCGCCGTCGCCTTCCGAGGTGCCAGTGCCAGCCGAAACGGCGCTGGCGGTGGGTGTGAAGCGCTCTTCGGCGCGGGCACGGCGGCTCTGCCGTTCCAGGTCGGCAAAGACGCCGCTGGCCTGGTCGTCCTTGCGCAGCATCTCGAAGCGGATCGGCGACTCGCCAATCACGTAAGAGTAGCGCTGGACCAGGTGCAGCGCAAACGTGCGCGCCGACGAGCCGGGTGCCCACCGCGACGACTCCAACACGCACGCCGGCGTAAAGCACGACGCCTCAAACGACTCGCCAGCCGCCGAAGCGGTCGACGACGCCGCCTCGTCCCAGAAAGGCGAGAGCGGGAGGTGCGCTACGCCGCGTGGTTCATCGTGTCTCCACGCCTCTTGCCGGCGGTAGTGGACCTTGCGATCTCGCGGCGGGAGAAAGGCATCGATGCCTCGGCGACCGCTGGCGCGCATCAGCTGGTAGATGAGGCAGTCGCCGCACTGGACCCGGTCGAAGGTAAACGCTTTGAAAACGTCGACCCACGTCGCGTCGCCCTGCTGAGCCTTGGCCAGGGAGACGAAGCACCGATCGAGGTTTAGCACGCAGGCGGGCGTGTGCCGCGCCTTGCCCGCTGCGATCGAAGTCGGCGTGAAATCGGGCCACTGGGACGACAATCCTCGCCGCTGCGGCGTCGACGGTTTCGCCCCGTCGGCAGCACTGTCGTCGTCGTGTGCGACAGACCGCCGCCGGCTCGGGACAATGCCGTCGCTGATGTGGGCGAGGGGGTATCCATCGTGCGAGGTGAAAATGTACTGCGTCTTGAGCGGGACAGGCCAGCCGGCCTCCAAGAGATTCGAGTTGGCGCGCCCGACCTCCAGCGTGGTCCGCGGTGGCATGTACACCTTGACGGCGCCGTCCGAGCGACGTTGCGATGGGCCGCCCTGCCTCGCGTCGGTCGGTACATCGGCGTCAGTGCGGCCCATCTCGGCCATAGCCTGGCGCCACTCTGCCTCCGAGACGATGCCGTCTCCGTCTGCGTCGAGGCGCAGCACGAAGAAGCTCCACAGCAACGCTTCGCGATGCCGCTCTATGGTCGTGTGGTACGCCAGGTACTGCGTGACGATATTCTGGCCGCTGTCCCTGAAGCGCATGCGCGCACTCTCGTGGATCTCCTTGGCAAACATGAGCCTGGACTCGATGAGCAACGGTAGCGAGAAGCTGCGGTGCAGGTGGACGATGTACGGCCGCTGGCGCTTCCCGAACCGCTGGTCCAGGATCCAGTTGGTGTGCTCGAGCGACGACCACTCGCCCTGCGAGAAGCTCGGGTCCGACTTGCCAGCAACCTTGATGTGCGGGTCGATGCGGAAGACGGCGCCATAGAGGGGCGTGTAAAAGTCGCCGGTGGTGACGTCGTCAAAGAAGAAAAAGTCGTCGTTCGAGTAGATGAAGTGCTCCGAGAGATTGGGCTCGCCACCGAGCATCGCCTCGATGGCCATCGAGTTGAACGTCGGCAGCGACTCGCGCTTGTATAGCACCTGCTGGCGCCTCCGCTGCTCGCTCTGCACCGCGGCTTCGGGCGTCAGCGCCCAGTTGGGTCGGAACGTGGTCCAGTCGTGGTGGAAATGGACCGTCGTCTCCGCCCTCATCGAGGCAGCAACATCGGTCCGCTCGGCCGAGGAGCCTGTCAAGACAAAGGGGTTGGTAGACGAGCTTGCTAGCCAGTCGGGGATCTGGCCCGGGCGAAGCACGCCATCCTCGCCTCGAAATAGGTCAGACGTGATGGACTTGTCGCTGCGCGCCTCATCCTCCCCCTCCGCCAGGGCGTAGTCCGGCGAGCTGACGTGGATGTCGCCCAGGGTCCGGAGGTGCGCTGCAGCCGAGCGCATAGAGTACTTGAGCTCGTGGTGGTCTCGGAAGCGATTCTCGTCGTTGTTGACACCGTCACGCTTGTCGCGTTCGGAAGCGGGAGCGGGGGCGGTGGCGGCCGCGGCGGCGGCATCTGTCTGTTTCCGGTAGGCTCGCTTGGCGCTGGCGTGGCGCCAATCCGATCCATTGACCCAGGTGTAGACGACGTCGATGTCGGTCATGCGATGACCGTTTGCCTCCCGATTGGCGACGGCATCGTCGGCGTAGATGCCTTGCAGGCTGTCGCAGAGGTGGCCGCGCGCGAGCCAGGCTTCCAGGCACTCGTCCGAGTCGGTCAGAGGCAGCTGCGACCGGATGGGCGGTAGCTTGCGACGGTAGGGCGAGCTTTTTGGCGGGATGAAGGTCGACAGCTCCTCGATGCTTTCCTCGTAGCTGGCCGGGACGGGAGAGCTGGTCGCGCCGACAGGTGATGGCGGACGCTGTCCGGTCTTGTGGCTCGACTGGCCTTGCTGCGCGACCTCACCGATTGCGATGGCAGAGTCGGCAATACGCGCTGACCGGCTCACAGTCAACTTGCCGACCAGGAAGAATGTTGTACCGAGCGTCACGGTCAGAAGACCGGCCGCAGCCCACCGCCTGATCCTTGGCGGCACCAACGGTCTGTGCGCCCATGTTTGCGTCCGCTCCCGAAGCGGTTTCGGCAGTGAGGGCCGGTGAGGGGATCGGAGGCGGTCGAGGTGGTCGCCCGAGTACTCCTTGGCGTCGGCCTCTTCGAGATCGCGAAGACCTCGTCGTGGCGGTGGCTGATGGCCGTACTGATTGTAGTAGTACGAGGGAAGACCGGCCTGGTCACCGTGTTCGAGCAGATGCCGTGTGTCGAGGTCGGCGTGCGGTAGCTCGGGGCTGTCGTAGGCCTTTGTCGGGGGCATGCTGGCGAAGCGTCGTCGTCGTCGTCGTCGTCGTCGTCGTCTATCGGAAAAGGGCTGACATGTGACGATCAGGGGACGTCGATGTGGATGATGGCCTTTATGACGACGGCTGGAGACCGAGGGAAGAACCCGTTGGGAGCCGTACAGCGTACCGATCTCCTGGCTCTGCGTGCCGGGCCGAGAAGTTGAAGGGCGTAGGTGTGGTCGGCAGAAAGTCGGCCGTCTTGGCACAGCATAGCTGCCGAACGGTTGACAGCGAGCTCGACAGGTGCATGGAAAGGACGATAGGGGGGATCAGATCGAAGCGCGCCGGGGAGCTTGCACTCAAGATAAGGCACAGCAAGATGTGCGGGTACGGTCCGCGTGGGGGCACCTTGACCATCGCGTGGACGTTGAGGGCACCGCCCGCTGGATCGCATGGACCTGGAGAGGCTATGATGGCAAGGTACATGTGCAGGTGCCGTGCCGTCCCGTACCGGGCATGATCCGTTCTGTATGTAGCGCCACCGCAGGTTGGCGATGCGCCCCGACGATGCGGTGCCCATCCCGGAGGAGAACAGCGGCGACCAAGAGCCCGGGAGTTGTGTCGGGCATCGTGCGGCGAGAAACGGTCTCGAGCTACAGTAAGGCAGGCAAGCAGGGAGGAGGCGCAGGCAGGTGAGAAGGACCGGACCCTGTCTTGGCGAGGGGCGGTCTCGGGGTTTACAGCACTTACCGGCTGCCCGGCCGGAGTGGAACGAGGAGGAGGAGGAGGAGGAGACGTCGAGGCGGCGCCTGTTGATGACGACGTGTTTGGGACAAGGTCGCGTGAGGGTGGGCCGCCAAGAGGCCGCGAGGAAGGTCGAGGCCTGGCCTAGCAGGATGGGCTCCCTCAGCTTGGTGGCCGGAAGGATAGGCAGGCGGGCAGAGTGCATCGACGGGGCTTCGCGGGCATATTGATGGCCGTAGGGCGTGCCGTGCCGAGGGGCGGCTGTCGCCTGTCAGGCCCTGAGGTACGGTGCTGGTGGCTGACTTGCCGCCGCCAAGCAAGCCGCGGCAGATTTGGCCGGCATCCCTACCTTAGCCCTGGCCGGCATCCACCTTAGCCCTGGCCGACCTGCTGGCTGCCCATTCCAGTCCAGTTGTCATCCCGAGACAGACCGAGAGGCCCTAAGGTTTGGTGCAGCCGGTGCTTCCTCGCTGTCGGCCCACGCTTGCATGGTGGCGGGGCGCTGCAGACCCATGGCCGACGAGGGGACCATGTGTCGACAGCATGCATGTCCTTTGTTCGATAGTCGATAACGACGGCCCAGCTCGAGGATGCCGGAGCAGGCGGTGTGGTGGCGCGGCAGAGGGCTGTGAGGGAGGATGGGGCCCACATGGAGCAGGCGGCGGCTGGCTGGCTGGTCAGGCGGTGCAAACGCGGCTGAATCATGGAACTGGCTTTGGAGTGCCCGATTGCCAAGTGCTGAGCGCTCGAATCGGGAGAACTTCTCCGATTGGCGTTCAGGGTCCTCCACCCAAGCAGAAACTCGGCACGTTTGCTTCTCGTCGTGGCCCTCGCGCCTCGTCCTCCTCCTCGTCCTCACCACCAAGCCCCCCCCCCCCCCCCCTCCCGGATCCACACGCAAACCCTCGACACGACACGGCGGCCAACATGCAACTCGAACAGCAACCACAGTCGGACCAACACCGCCTCTCGAAGCGGCAGCAGTGTACGTATGGTCCCCAGATCTCACCTCACCGCCCATCGCCGCTGACGCCTTTTTCGCTCCTCCCTCTTCGCTCCCTCGCCTCGCTGCCGCAACAGACGACAGCATGATCCACGCAGAAGCCGGCCCGTCGTCACACGCAGCAGCAGTGCACGACGCCGCATCCATACCCTCGCACCCTTCCGTACGTCGTCGTCGCCCAGCCAGCCTCGGCGCCCCGGCGCCTCCCCCAGACTCGCTACTCTCCCCGCTGCACAGATCGACCAAATGACTCTTACACCGCTGTTCTACCTTCCCGCTCTTCGCCCGGCCTCGACACCTTCACCTTGCACCGCAAACAGTATCCCTTCGTATCGACCCTGTGCGATAGGTACCCCGCTCAGTCAGCGCCGCTCTTTCAGACCTACCTCGACCTCAAGCACGCCGCGGCTTGGTCGGAACTGGAACCCGTCGAGCTCCTACCTCCATCCCCACCTTCCCCTGCTGCCGTCCCCAGCATCAAAGGCGACACCAACCGCTCCGATCTCTCACCGAGCGAGCTGATCGACGCCACACTATCATCGTACAGATCCACCCTCGCCTCCCACTCGCTATCGCCATCCTCCGAAACGGGAGGTTGGGTAGCGATTCGGGGACGAAAACACTCGTCCCCTCCTTCTTCCTCTGCTTCCGCCTCCGCCTCCGCCACCGCCAACAACGATGGACCAGGTGCCACGACGACGACGACGACGGCGGGGGATAGGCTCCAGACCATCCTGCCGGTGCACGTGTCGCAGCAACTCTCGCCGCGCCTCTTTTCCAACATCTTTGACATCCTCGACCACCAGCAGGCCACGCGCGACCCAGCGCTACCCCGCCTCGAAACCCAGAGCCTCCTCCTTGCCCTCATGGCCAGCGACTCGACCCTCGTCTACTACGTCCTCTCCAGGGGCCTCGTCAAACCCGTAAACTAGAACCTCAGTCCTTCCCCCGCACACGCCTCTCTCCGCCCTCAAAGTCAGAGTCATGGGACCAAATTGTTCATTGCCTTGGTCGACGGAATGGTCAGGGGTGCGTCCGTCACGAGCGATACTTAGAGAGAGAGAGAGAGGAGAAGACAAAGGAAAAAGACAGAGCGGGACAAGGAAGAGGCTGGGGCTCGGATGCTGCGGGTTGTTGGTTGAAAAGAGGAGACAGAAGAGGCAGATGCAAGGACCAGGGAGGGGCGCAGTCGGCACGAGATCCACTCGCACCGACCGGCACCGGATGCAGGGTTCGGAACATTGTCCGTTGCGTGCGAGCGAGAGATGGGAGCAGAGAGAGAGGAATGGAGCCAAGAGCGTCTCGGGTCGTATCGTCGTCGGTGTCGGTACGGAACCGGTTCCCTCTAGCAGAGCAGGGCAGCAGGACGGAAAGGGACGGGACGGGACGGGACGGGATGGTCCTCCACCTTGGTCCGACCCACGCCGTCGCGTCGCGGCGCCGTCAGACGACACACGTCCCTCGAGCCTAGGCCAGCAGCATGGCGGCGCCGGCGATGGCGCCGACGGCCAGCGACGAGGCCCAGCCGGCGACGCTGCCCATCTTGACGGTGGCGGCGGCGCCGTTGAAGTTGCGGTAGGGGTCCTGGCTGGCCGTGGCCGACGCCGCCTTGCCGTCAAGGTTGTTGCTGCCCGACGAGGTGAGGTTGGCGCCGTTGGGTCCAATGGCGCGCGTCGAGTCGCTGAAGCCGCAGCCGCTGCCCGAGCACAGGCACTTGCCCGCGACCGGGTCCCACCAGGGCGTGTCGCAGCTGTCGTTGATGCGCGTCCGCACCGAGTTATCGTTGTTCTTCTGCGGCGGGTTGGGGTTCTGCGGCGACGGCGTCGTCTCCGGGCAGCCGTAGCACGTGTAGAACGGCGAGTTGTTGAGCGGGTCTCCCTGCGTGTTGCTGATGCAGTGCTGCATCAGGTCCGAGTTCTTGGCAAAGCCGTTGCAGATGTGGTCCTTGACATCGGGCGTCTGGCACTTGAACTCGTCAATCGTGTTGAGCTGGCTCGCCGGCACCGGGTTCTTCATCCACGCCAGCAGCTGCTTGTTGCTGATGATCCACACGTTCTGCATGTCGGCGCTCGTGGTGGCCCAGTCGAGGAACGAGTTGATCATCTTGATCATCTTGTTGATCTGGGCCTGGTCGGGCTGGCCGGGGTAGTTGGGCGAGACGTGGATGGGGTGCGTGTAGAGACCGAAGGGCTGGCGCTTGCCCTTGTAATGGTCGCTGAAGGTGTTCTTCATCCAGTTGAGCACGTCGTCCGGGTTGGGCGAGTCGAGCCAGGGGTCCATCAGGTGCGCGCCGGCGGCGCCCTTCTCGTCGAAGATGGCGTACATGGGGATCTCCCAGAATCCGGGCAGCTTGGGCTCTCCGTTGCAGATGTTGTCGACCGACTGGCAGTCGTTGGCCATGCCGTTGTCGAGCGTGTAGGGCCAGAAGGCGTCGGTGTTGGGGTCCGTGACGGGCACCGACGACGTCGACGACGAGTCGTACGTGAAGCCCGCGCCGTGAAGGTGCTCGAGGTTCTGGCGAGTGTAGTTAAGGAAGGGGGCACGGTAGCCGATGATGGACTTGTACGGAATGCCGGCGAGGGCGTTGAGCGTGATGAGGTTGCCGTCGATCTCATCGGCGGGCGCCTGGGCGACGTGGGTCATGGTGTGGTCGGCGACGTCGTTGCCGTTGACGTAGAGCTCGGTGACCATCGAGTAGTTGGTGTACATCGTCTGGGTGTAGTAGCTCATCTTTGGCGTGCAGCCGTTGGGGTTCTTCCGCTGCGCCAGGAACTGGTCGACGGCGGCAATCGTGTAGCTCTGGACGGCGTCGTCGGCAGTGAAGACGATGAACTGGGGCACGTCCTTGGGGTCGAGACCGCCGGGCGGGTTGGTGTCTGCGCAGTGGCAGTCGGGCAGCTTGCACTTGTTGGGGTCGCAGCTGTACTTGGCAGCCGAAGCGCCACCGGAGCTGGTGATATCCTGGCCCTCGCCGGCGGCGGCGAGCTGCCTCTTGTCGAGGTTGGCATCGGTCCTACGCGCGATCGGCCTGCACCCGTGGTCGAGCAGGTTGGCGGATCCATAGGCCATCGAGATGCCGGCGAGGGCGAAGCCCATCAGGGCAGAGAAGGCGGCCGAACGCATGGCTGAGACGTAAATGCTCGCGGTTCCTGGGTCGTGATCGGTTCGTCTATGGGGGAGGTGCGAGAAAGTGAGGGCGAGCCCGTCGGGGAAACTGGCGAGACCGAGCGAACGTCGAGGGACGGCAGTAGGGTCGATGGAGGGAAGGGGAGAAGAGGAGGTGGTGGTGGTGGTGGTGAGGCGGAGGGTGCAGGTAGGTGGGAAGTGGGCGAGGGGGCGAGGGGGTGGCAACGGGCAGGGGGTGAGCCCCGAGCGCCAGCCAAGCAGGGGAAATACAAAAATAAGAGACCGGTCAGGCCAGAGGCGGCTGAGCAAGCTGGATTCAATCGCATTCCAGCCAAACAGGGCACCGGAATTCCGCGCGTTGTAACATGGCGCGGGGGGACGCTGCGAATACAACACCCGCCGGCTGGCTGGCTGGCTGACGGCGGGCCAAGCCAGGAAATGGGGCTGAAGCGTTAGGCTAGGTTGCTGGCTGGTTGGCTCGAAGCGAACCAACCGACCGCGCGCCCAAAGTCCTGACCTCAGCCCCGCTGCTGCTGACCCTGCTGTCTGCTGGGCCTTGTGGAAATTTCGGAGGGGGGTCCGAGGAGCGAGACCAACACCGATACCGTACCCGGCCCAACCGACCAGGGAAAGAAAGAGAAGCAGAGCGAGGCAGGCCAAGAAACGCGCGACTCCGACGACGCCCAGCAGGGCCTGGCAGGGCCGCTTGCCCGCTGCATCGAAACCATGCATGCCTGCCTGCCTGCCTGCCTTCCTCGGTCGCAGCCAAACCCACGACCGCCGAGCAGCAGCAGCAGCCAGCATCACACCGTCATGCTGCCTGCCTGGTCTTCACAGCTCTCTGCCTTCTGCGAGCCGCCAAAGGTCCGGCGTCGGTGTCGGGCAGGCTGCCGACGACGGTGTTCCGTCTTCAAACGAGGCAGCCAGCCAGCCAGCCAGGGGCAGGCCCTTTCCGGAGAGCTGAGGCAACCTTTTGGCTTGCTCTCACCGCCGGCAATCAGGGCAGGGGCTCGCGTGAGCAAAGCCTGGCCCCTCGGCGTTTTCTTTTTTCGGGGGGCTCGCCAAGGTCTGTCCCCAGCCTGGCCTGCCAAATCTCTGTTCCAGGCGCAACCAGCTCCCACCTCCAGGATGGCGTCAGAAGCGGACGGCGGCGCGACCAGACAGCTGCTGCTGCGATCGCGAGCACTGCAGTCGAGGATCTCGCACCGGCGCATGCGTATGGTACATTCAATTGCAAAGGCGGTCTGGTCTGCACGGCCCCGTGCAGGATCGCCGCGCCGCAACGAGGGGGCGAGCAGAAAGGACGGGGTAGAAGATCTAGCAGGCTGGCGAAGGACAACGCTCTAGAGGAGCTCGTGCGAGGGGGTGGACGAGAAGAGGAGCGAGGCGGTGCGGGGGGGAAATGCGATGAGGTTGAGGTCGGAGGAGACATGCTGGAGAGGATGCGAGTGTAGCCATGGAAGAATGTGAGGATGCTAATCGTGATATGCTGGATGGAGAGCCCGTGCGCGTGGATGCTGGTGTGGATGCGTTGTGGTTCGGCGGTGATGGACGACGTCTGGACGGCTGCAGAGGATGTGAGGATGGGATGGAGGGCGGATGCTTGCTGCTGACGGCGACGCGAGATGGCGGATGCTCGTGCTATCGGTGCGAGAGGGTCGTGGCGCTGGGAACGTGACCAAGGAGAACTGTCCGTGAGAAGTGACCGAGGCTCTCGGACCGCAGGTGACGATCGTTGGAGCGAAAGCGAGCCGCGTGCCGTGCGTATGTGTGGGTGAGGGCCAAGAGGCAATCAGACCCGGGTATCGCGGTCGCGCGGCCGCCCTGACGGCTGCGACACCAGACCAAAGGAGGGGCAGAGCTTATGGCGAGCGGAAGTGCACGACCAAATGGGCGAGGGAGCTTGGGATGGACGTCGGCCAGGCTCCGTTACCGACGTCGCGGGCTCAGATCTTGAGCTCGCGGAAGCCGCGCACTTCGGCCGGAGCCTTGGCCTGCGTCACGTCCGGCGACGGCTCCTTGGCCTTGGCAATCTTTTCGAGCTGACGCTCGCGCTTGCGCAGGACGGCGGCATCCCGCTTCTCCCGCGGCGTCGGCACCTTTCTCTTGATGACGACGCTCGACTTGTTCGGCAGGCCGTCCTTTCGGGGCCGACCTCGCCCGCGCTTGATGATCTCGTAGACAGCCTTGTCCTCGGCTTCGTCGTCGTCGTCGTCGTCTTCGGCCTGAGCAGCGCCTTCGACGCTCTCTTCGGCCGCCGGCGTCGACGGACCTTCGACGGTGGGCGACAAGGCGCAGACGGACCCGCTCTCGTCCGAAGATCGGCTCTGCGACCGCCTCTTGGGCCCTCGCAGATTCCGAATGGCCGACAGGTCGGCCGAAGCCGCCCTCTTGGTTGACAGTCTGTCGGCGCCCGGCGTGTTGGCGCGCGATGACTGGGATACGCTGGGCGATCCAGGGCCCAGATCGATGCCCTCCTCGGTCGTGGCGTGCGTCGAGGGTGAGTCGCCTTCGCCGCTGCTGTGCGTCGCCGACGTGTCCACCGATGAGGGCGACGTGGCCCGCCATTGCCGCATGTGATCCGGCAGCGAGGTCGGCGGGGCGAGCGTGCCCGCTGCCGCCTCGCTCTGGCCGGACACGGACGCCGGCAGCGCCTGCAGCTCAGAGCCGACGGCCGCCTCGTCCTGCGCAATCTCGCGCTCCACCAGCACCTCGACGACTTGCGCCCAGTCCTGATTGTGCTCCTTGAGCAGGCTGCGGACCTCTGCGAGGCTGTACTGGCCGCGCGTGCTCTCCAGGACCATCTTCTCGGTGCTCGTTGGCTCGCCGCCGTCCCCGTCCTCCTCAGCTTCCCCTATGGTCCCTGTCCCTGCCTTGCTGGCCCTCGAAGCGGAAGAAGCGTCGTCTTGGGCGGCCGCAACGCTTCTCTCCTTGATGCGGGGTAGGCCCGTGTGCGGGCCATCGATGTTGCGGATCGAGCTGTAATGCTCCCAGTTGTGATAGGCGATGTAGAGGGGCCCATAGGCTTCCACCAGCGCATCGGACGGCTGCGCCTCGACCGCACCGGCCTTGGAGGTCGATGCGACGTCGTTGGCCTCGACGGTCGATTCGGACGCGTCCGCCGACACTGCGGTGTCATCCTGGCCGGCCAGCTTCTGCGCCGACTCCTTTTTGCGAGCGCGCGACTCTGTCCTCTTGGCGCGCCGCTGCTCTCGACTCGAGGGAGGTGGCCCCTCGGAGCCGGGAGCGATGCTGTTCTGCATCCTGAGGCGTTCCTGCTCCCGATCCTCGCGGGACCTGACGGCCTCGGGCGAGTCGTCGTCGGCCGAGACGACGTAGACAAGGCCGGGCTGGACAATCTTGATCTGCTTCTGCATCATCTGCGCAAAGGCGTGGAGCTCGAGGTGGCCACCGTACGTGCCATTCTCCCGCATCAGCCGGACGTAGGCATCGAAGGGCTGGTCGTCGACAAAGCCGGCAAAGCGGTCGGCGTGGGCGGCCAGGTGGTCGCAGGTCTCCTGCCGCAGCCGAGCATGCTGGGTGGGGAAGCCGTAGAGCTGGTCCGAGAGGGCACGAAAGAGGCAGTTGCCGTCCCCGGTGGTGTTGGCGGCGTAGAGGCTCATAAGCTTGAGCTGCTCGTTGAGCTCCTTTTCCACCTGCGCCGGGTCATCGAGGCCATTTGTGAGGCGGGCACGGCTACTCCTCGTCACGCGCTCGTCTGTGGCGAAAGCAGCAGCAACAGCAGCAGCAGGGGTCGAAGCGGAAGGAGCACGGGTCAGCCTTGTCGCTCTCTGCCTGCAGATCGAGAGCCACAGCGCGACGCAGCGACGGATCGGGCCAAGGGAGCGACATCCGGCCAGACGATACCGCCGTGCCGGGTCGACCCGGGGGGCAGCACCGATGACGAAGAAGCGCCAGCGGCCACCAGGGCCCTGCGACAAGAAACCAAACTTTTGGCCTCGACGATGGGCACCGCCGCCCCCTCCACGTTGCTGCACTTTCGCTTTTGGCTGCTGGTTGCTGGACGGCGAATTTCGCGCCCCCCTCTGGCCCCTCTTCCCGATGGCCCCCACACAGCTCGCGGGCCCGATTTTTGGATTTGCGATTTTTTTTCCACCCCTCTGCCGCTCGCCTCGCCTGCCCGCTGGCCCAGAGGGGGACGGCAGGCGTGCGATTGGGCGAGCGAATTGGGCGAGCCAGCCGGCCAGTTGGCCAGCTGGCTGGTTGTCGCCTGGCTGCTGCCACGGCCGCCGCCGCTGCCATGCAGGCGAGCGTTGTCGCTGACCGCAAGGCCGGTGGCTGCTCCGGGTCATCGCAGGGCTTGCCCTCGTCGAGGCCGTCTCTTTGCAGCAGCGCCAGCACCAGCAGTGGCGGAGAGGACAGAGAGAGAAAGAGAAAGAGGGTGCGTGGCGATAGAGCCACGGCAACGGAGCGACAGCATCGTCGCTTTGGGCATCGAGTCGACCGGGACCTTGGCGACGAATGGCTGGAGGGCCGACGGCAGAAGCCACACGGGATCCGCGCTACTCACTCTTGACAGCATTGACCTTGGTTCGGGCGCTTCGCCTGGTGCCGGCAGCTACAGCAGCGGTGCCGTTCCGCTGTGCCCTCCCCATGGTGCCATACGACGACGTCGGTCTGCGGCGAGAGGGTGAGGTCGAGGGGAAAAGGGAGGGAGAGGCGGAGGTGTCGGTGGTCGATCCGTTGCCCTCGTCACCTTGGCTTTCCCAAGGATTCGGGCGACGGGGAGGCTGCGAGGAAGGCGGTTGGCCAGAGTGACTGGCCTCGCACCTTGCAGGCAGCTCTAGAGGTCGTGGTGAGAACGACGCTCGGAAGTTGAGGGGGTTGAAGGTGGACGACGTCGTCGGCGGCAGGTCGAGGGGCGAGTGCGTCCAAGGTCGGGCGTCGAGAAGCGGCAAGTGCGGAGGAATGCGGGCGGAGGAGGGAGGGGATCAGAGCGATGCAGACGAAGGGTGGGGCGATGGTCGATGCCCGCAGGCAGAATACCGGGCGCGGGATTGATGCGACGATGGAGAGGAAGGGGTCTATGGCGCTGCTGAAGCAAAGGGCCCTGGTGTTGGAGAGAGAGGTGAGAGGCCGCGGCGAGTGCGGCGGCGGGGCGGCGGCGGCGGCGAGATGGATGGCGGTTAGGCTTTTGCTGCGCCAGGGTCCTAGCTGAAAGGCGACCAGCCAAAATACGCCTGCCTCGAGGTACCAAGGCGGCGACGACGCTGCTGCTGTTGAAACGGTCTGGCCAGCGAGCAATACAGTACGAGCGAGGCCTCTGCGCGGATCGTGCGTGTGTACGAGTGCGTGCGTAGGTGCGTAGCTCTCTCTCTCAGAGCCTCTCTCAGTCTCTCCTTTGATGTGCCTCTGCGGGCCCCTGCTGGCCTGTCGGGCGACCTTGCCTGTCTGCTGCAGCAGAGATGGCGAGGGGGGGCTTGGACCGCGCGCCCGGCCGCCCGCCTTCGGGGCTCGGGCACAGCTAGGCTCTGGGCCAATCCTCGCCACCCCTCGAGAATGGCGCTCGACAGCCTGCCTGCACATGCGTTCATCAGCCTCGAGCCGTGGCCAAGCTGCGGTCCAGGCCGGTACAGTAGGCCGGTACAGACAGCGAGGTTGAGGAGGCTTGGGCGTAGCGGCAAGGCACCAATGCACGGCGGCCAACAGCTAGGATGCGCTGGCTAGGTTGCGGGCCGAGCCGAGCCAGAGCCAGGGCCAGGGTCAGGGTCAGGGCCTCCACACCCAATTCTCGTCTTGCTTGGGGCGGCGAGAAGGCGGCTTGGTTGCTTCAGGCGCCCCCGCGCGGCCGCGACCCGACGGGCCCTTGTCCGCCTTTGCTTGCGGCTCTCTCTCTATCCTCGATCATCGACTCCGGCCCTTCCGCCTTCATTATTCCATCGGCCGCACGCTAGCTCCCTTCCGTCATGGGCGAGCACTCTCGCTCAGAGGATCGCGATCGGGATCGTCGCCATCGCCGCCACGACACCACAGCCACACGAGACGAGCAACGAAGCCGTCATAGGGATCGTGAGCGCTCGAGGGACCGATCAGACCGGCGCCGCGACGACCGCGACAAGGCTGCCTCCTCGAGCCATCGGCGGCGATCTCGTGCAGATGCGGGCGAGGTCGCCGCCGAAGACGACGATCATGGCAACGACCACGACCACCGCCACGACGACGACCAGCCGGGTCCAGCACCTCCGCCTCGCGTCGACCCGCACCTCGACGAGCTCGGCGTGGCACCGCTGACAAACGACGACTACTTTCAAAAGGCCGCCGAGTTCAAGGTTTGGCTCTCCGAGTCAAAGGGCCGCTACCTCGACGAGATTTCGAGCAAGGAGGCTCGCCGCTACTTTGACAAGTTTGTCGACCGCTGGAACTCGGGCAGACTGAGCGGTGAGTAGGAGCGTTGTGCGCGTTCGCGAGCGACGGACGGACGGCTTGCCTGATCGCATCTTGCCCCGAGGTCTGCTTCCTGCGCCCATAGACGACTTCTACCTGGGAAAGGTCCGCTCCGCTGCCGCGCCTTCGTCTACGCAGACGCGGCACAAGTGGAACTTTGCCTCCAAGTCGTCCTATACCCAGGCAGAGCAGGATGCGCTGGCCAGCATCCGGGACACGGTCGATACAATGACCAACGCCGAGACCAGGGGTGCCAAGGAAGCCCGGGAAGCCGAACGCAAGGCCAGCAAGGGAAGCGGCTGCGTGGCGGCGAGGGCGGCGAAGACGAGCAGCGAGCCGCGACGGGTGCCAACAGCGGCGCCGCGGACTCGGGCTGGGGCTCCAAGCGCCCCGCAAGCGGCGCCACGTCGAGCTACGCCGATCG